GAGACAGAAAGCGGGGAGCCAGAACAACCAATGCCAATGCAACTGACAAAGGCATTGGCCAGTCCAAGCCACTTCTTTCTTTCTTTCTTTTTTGGTACCGTAGATTGAACTCAGGTCCTTGTGCTTGCAAGGCAGGCGGCATAACCACTCAGCTAAGTCCCCAGCCCCAAGCCACTTATTTCTATTGGTAATCAATTAGAGTAAAGGCAAGCTATGTACAACGGCAGAACTATGTGCATGCAATCATGCAGTTTCTATGGAAATTAATGTAAACAAGGCTCCTAAAGGGCCAAAGCATTCTCAAATTAGGAACAGAATAGACAGAATATATGGTTGTAATTAGAACATTGTCCTTCTAGTAAGAAGGTTTTAAGTTGTGGGAATGGAATTTGGGTGCAAGCTACTCTGACCTGGGCACATAGGCTTCGGTCAGACTCACTTCTTAAAACAAGTCAATTGTGGGGTTAACTCTTTACTGCCTGCACTGCTTACAGCCTGCTTTGGGTATAATCAATACTGTGGTCTCCTGTACTCATGTGCTCCCAACATGGTAGCACCAGATGACTTAAGATGGATATTAGCTAGATTTCTCTGGCAACTACTTTCAAAGCACAGGCCATTGACTGTTTTTTTAAATCAACACAGAGGAGAAGCATTAAGGAGTAGTTGAGGTCATTTTGGGTCATGTGTCACCTGTCAACATTTCCTGAAAATACTGTCAAGGTGGAACATGGCCAGAAGCCCAAGCTTCTGGGTCCCTTTGACATATGCAGGCACAGCGTCACCCTCCAAGGAGTGGAGGGTGTTTACAGCAGTGAGTCTGAGTCCAGCCTGAGCTCAACACGTTTCTCTTCTGGACAGTTCCTTTGTGGTCCGGATGTCAGTGCTCAGGTAACATCTCAGGCACTTTAGGAGAAGCACTCCAAGGCTTGTCTGCACAGAAAACCTAATTCTGTAAGTTAGCAGGGGCAAAGATTCTAACTAATGTGCACTCCAAACCCAAGTCACCCATCTCAGTCTTTTGGCTGTAACAGAATTGTCTGAGGAATGCATAATGAAAGACATTTATTTCTGAGCTATGGGTGAGCTCAGTAGTAAAGCACATACCTATCAGCCACAGGCCCTGGGTTCCATGCCCAGTGCAAAACATCTTTTGGTTCTGGAAGCTGAGAAGCACAAGACAGGCATGGTACTTGGTGAGGACTCTGTGGTGTCACCACTTGGCAAAGGGAGAAGGGGAAAGCCCTCAGTCTTACAAAAGCATGACCCACCATGAGGGAGGGGTCCCTCCACAGTGACAACAGACAGTCAGCATAGGTTTGGGAAGAGACAAATTTAAAGCCTGGAAAGGAAGACTACAGACCCATCTATGGAAACCACATGGTGGGAAACATGTCATGAGCTCTGGCAAGTCAGAGCAATACAACTTTGGTCCTGCTTGCTGCTTGTGCATTGATGGCCCCTGCTAAGGCCGTACCTGGGCTGGGGAAAAAGGTGGGTAGAAAGGGCCTCACAGCACTGGCCAAGGCCACCAGCTTTCAGGTGTCTTCCTGCTTTTGCTGCAGGTTGGTCAGCTGGGTCCTTGGTTCAAAGCACTTGTCATTATTCTTGTTACACTGGTCAGGATGCTGTCCCACTGCAGCTGCCATCATTGAGCCATCAGCGGCATATGATAGGAACTTGAAGGCCTCCCAGTACAGCTGACCATGGAGCTGACCAAACACCTCACACTGTGAAGATTCACATTTCCTGCCAGCTTGGATTGGTCAAGGAAGCACTATTGAGACCAAGAGGGCAAACTGGGAGAAAATTCCCAATAGCCAAGCCACACAATGGAAGGACTCATATAATGGCTGCGGTGGCTGCCCAGGCCCTGGGCTCCAGCCTTCACAATGACTGGCCCAGAATGATCAGGATTTGGTAACTGCCAACTTCTTTTTTTTTTTTTTTTTTTCACCATTTCCAACTCTGAGCCAACCAGGAAAACCAAGTATGTTTCTCAAACAAGAAACCCAAGTTGCTCTGCTGCTACACACAGCAGCCAGCAGCTTCCAGGCCACCAATCTCCAGCTTCAGCAGATCCAAAACCTCCTCAACAACCCCGTTTTATTCCCCTAATAAAGTGTTTCCACTCCTCCGCCTGCCTTGGTGTCTTTACCAGAAAGTGACAGGTGATGCTGGCTGACTCCCTCACTGTACCAATTTAGGATGAGCACTTTTTCTTGCTTTCATTTGGATGGTGTTAGTTTAGTTTTACACAGTTAACAATTAGAGCAGTACCCCTTATCTATGGTTTTGCTCTCCATGTTACAGTTACTCATTGCCTGAAATTAAATGGAAAAACAGAAATAAGGCTCTGTGTCTTAACTTGCATGTCTGAGTAGTGCTATGACATCTTGCAGTTCCCCATCCACCCACAAGCCCTGCCCTGCCCAGTGCACTTAGGTGGTACACACCACCAGCTGGCTTGTTATCCTGCTGTGGCTGTCCTGGCTGTCAGAATGGAAAGCTTGCTCTGTCTGGCTTCTGGCATCTGCTGGGTATCTCTCTGGCAGATAAAAGATGACTGCTGGACAGGTAACCAGGCATCTCTTAAAAAGTACAACTTCTGGGCCCGGATTTAGCTCAGTGGCACTGTGCCTGCCTTGCAAGCACAGGTTCTAAGTTTGATCCCTGGTATGGAGAAAAAAGAAAGCACAACTTCCTGTGATGACACTTCTTTTACCTGTTCCAGTTATTCTGGTGAGGGGTCAGAATTCTTCCATCCTCGATGTCATTCCTATTCTTAAAAATCTCCCGTAATTGTACCTTGCCCTCCAGACTCTGATGAAGTCCCCAAACCCTTGATGTGTCCCTTTGCCCTGGGGTTCTGTGCAATCCAGATTTCAGCCTCCCTGTTCCTGTGTTCACACTTGCAGGAAAGTGCTCAGGTCTTACCATTTCTCAGAAGAGAGGCACAGGTGGAGAAGTTGCAGAGGGCAGTGGGAGAGGCTCTAGGCTTGAAGTCCTCCAGACCAGGCTTTGCCTCCTATAGCCTCATGCACTTTCTTCACTTGGGCTAGATCTTCAGCTCCCAAGATCCCCAAGATGCCCCCAAGACCCATCCATCCACTGGGTGTGTGGTCAGGGACTCAAGTGCTGGCAGGTACTGTTCACACTGGCCAATAAAGACAAACAAAATGCTAAGACAGCTCAGATAGACTTCATATTTTTATTGAAGTTGACATTTTGCATGGTAAATAGCATCTATATATGAAATGTCAAAATTGTCTTCTTCACCAAAAGAGTGACTATTAATTTTTAGCTTTAGAATGTACTTTCCTTGACTTGCTTGCTTACATAATTTCCAAACAGAATTGATTAGTGTCATTGGGAAGGACATTGCCTGTGGTCTCTCCTGCATGAGTGGCTGACCCTGCTGCTGTCCCAGCTCCCTCCACACTGCTTGGCCTTAGCTCCTATTACCCCTATGAGACACACCCCATGTCCCCCTCACCAACTGAGATCTGGGTCCTGTGATTAACATATCTCATCACTTAAAACAGCACTCAAAAGCACAGTGCAGAGACTAGCTGTGATTTCCCTGGGGTGTCCAGTGTCTGCTTGGTGAGCCAGGGAGAGAAGTTGGCTCTCTTGGTGTCTGACAAACACCTGGGCCTTGCTGCAGGGCACAGCAGGTGAGGTGCCCAAATTGAGACACGGGCTCTTACTGCTTGTGAGCTTGACTGAGACAGTCCTTCTGGTGGGTCCCCACTCACCTACAAAGTTCCTACTAAGGCTGCTTCTTGCTGCGGAGAGGGCAGAGGCAGCTTCTCCTAGGCATGGGAGCAGAGGATGAGCACTTCCCTTGGAGCCCAGGCCTGCAGTGGGCCCTTGGACTCACTGTCTGTGCCCTACTTGTGACTAGAAGTACAGAGGCTGAAGCCCTCCAGCACCAGCCTCCAAATGTGCCAAGTGTGTCTGAAGGAGTCAGGGATCCTCACTCCCTGCTCCACAGCTCAAGGGAGAATGTGTCCTTTATGTGGGTGGAAACCATGCTTTCCCTTGTATTTTCCTTTTCATGTATTTATCCAAGCCTGCTGTCACGCAAACTCAACTAAATTTCCATCCAAATCAGCTAGCCTCATGTGGGAAAGATTAGGGGGAAAAAACAAACACAAGTGCTCCTCATGGGTTGTCATTGTTCTTGAAATGGGGCTGACAGGATTTTGCTTTTCTCAGCCAAGGTCTCACCCCTCCAATGTGAAGGCTGCAGTAGGCTGAGGAGGAAAAGTATGGAGGCATGGGAGGAGGTCCATCATACATCAGAGGACAAACGCTGCTTGGAGCCACTCTCTTATGTCCAGCCTCTGATGCCTGTGTCCAGATGAGGAGACACAGGCACCAAGGGCCGGGCCACGGCCTGCAGCTGATGTAGGTGGAAGTTGTATGCTTGCAAGCGCACACACACACACACACATGCAGGAAATAACAGGGAAGAAGGTGCTACAGGTCAGCTCTATGCAGGTGAAAACTCACCTTTGACAACTTCCCTGTCTGCTCCTGGCAGGGCTTGGAGGGGACCACTGGGGTCACACCCAGGGAGAAGACACGAGAAGGGTGGGGTCAGCACCAGCCACCTTTGGGGTCCACGACCATCCAGATTTTAGTAATAGACTGATTGTATCTCATACTCCTAAAACACCCCAGCGCCAAGCACTCAGTCAAGGAGATGGCAGACGACTTTGAAGGCCTACGTTTGGCATTGTCGGCTCTGCAGGGAGGCAGCCTAGAGCACAAGCGGGTATGTGTTCAGCAGCCATTGCCAATGTGCCAGGTCACACACCCCATGTATGAGCCCTGTCCTGGGTCACTATCAGTCCCCAGGAGGCCTGTGACAGATTCCCTGGCTCATGTTAACTCTTGTGTGGAAATGTCAAAATCACAGATCTGACATTGCTGACTAGAAAGTTAAAAAAAGAAGTTTGCATATTTTATGATACATGATTTTATTTATACAACTGAAATTATTTCCTCAGTCACCTTGACTACAAAAACAAATTAACATGGTGTGGCTTAATAACCTTTCTTAAATGGATTTCACACATTTTAGTAGCTGACAGATTGCTATTTAATACTTGGTAACAATACTTAGCAACATCTGCACATATGCATATGAAAATTGTCTGACAGGACTAATGGGCATGGGTACTTTTGTAACTCAGATGGCTGGGTTACTAGGCAAGATTACTTCCCCCATCCCTGGGCGAGCATTTAGACCCAGAGGTCTCGTCCCATGAGAACAAACCAATTATAGCAATTCACACTAGGTGAGCATTTTAATAACTTGAGTTTACCCTTAGTTCTGCATTTAATAAGAGTATCACGAAGCTCATCTGAAAACCAGCTTACCATGACTACATTTGTAGTCACAACTAGTATTTGTAGAACCATGACTAGTATTTGTAGAACCTATCACAGTATATCTGGAAAATGGCCCAAACTAAGGCTATGTTACACATCCCTGTGGGTATGTTTTGGCTCTCTCTGGATGTGTGTATGCCTATATGCACACCCTCCACAGGGCTGTCACATAAGCATCCAGGTCCTTCTGCCACACAAATGCCAACATTCTCTACTTTGTGAAGTGCCCACGAAGTGTAGCATTTACAGAGACCACTCAAAGTCCTCTCACAGTGCTGATGTCTGAAGATCAGGCAGTGTTCTGGTGGTGCAGCCCCTTCCTGAGACACCACAGGCCTGGACTCCCACAGCCACCCCCACAGCTGCAGGGGTGCAGAGTGTGACCATACCAGGGTATAGTGAAACGAAGTTTACATGTGTGTCATGGTGAGAATTGAAGAAACCAAAATGCCTTGCTGCCTGCGAGTGGAAAGAGCCAGGCACAAGCTCTTTGAGAGCCATATGGTGTCTTCCCATGGCAGAACAAGAGCTGCAGTCCGGCTCAGTGGTCTGTGTTACTTCTAATACAACTAGCGGGTCTGTCCCTTCAGGAGGGAGCACTGGGGACGCACTGACACAAGCACAGCCCCACCTGCTCCGTTGCTCTCCACAGAGGGCACACAGCCGGGTGGCAGTGGGGGTGATGGAGCACCAGAGGCCACAGTGTTCTGTGCTGTGGTGGCAGGGTCGTGGTCACCCTACATTGCCATGGGAGGCCTGGACCTATCTTTGAGCCCCTTCTAGAAGCTGACAGGCACACAGCAATGGCAGCATCAGATCCCCATTGTGCTAAATCTAAAAAATCACTTTAATAATGGTGAAACTAAGTGTCTTCCTAAGAAAAGGCTATGTGATTTAAAAAACCATTTATAGGATCTCATATTTGGAGCCGAGGCCTGTCCTGGTCCCCCATTCCCTCTAGTCCTTGGGTTGTTGGGGGGTGGTTGCTTTCACCATCCAGGCCTTAGAGCCTCCTTCTGAGTCAGACCAGGTTACTCTGGCCAGGGTTTCCTACTGTGTATGTGTGTGTGTGTGTGTGTGTGTGTGTGTGTGTGTGTGTGTGTGTGTGCTTCATGGTTTGACCTTGTTGCACTGTTTCAGTGGCAACCAGGAAAATCAGACAGTTCAGGAACAATTTCTCACACAAGCGAGTGGCAGGCCTACATGGGGCCGGGATCAAGTGGTGGTGGTCATTGGTGGACACAGACTAAGGGGCTGCCTGGTGTAAAAGGGGAAGGACAACTTAGCGCTAGGATTTAACAGCACTCACATGGCAGCCACATCTGCCAGGAGGGACATCACCGGTCATCAGGAGAGAAACCAGTTACAACGAACTACCAGGAAAGAGTCTGCCACTTGGGCTTGGCCTGGCGAGGGTGACGGGCACAGGAGGAGCCGGTGGACTGTCCATTCTCGGCATGTTCTTCCCCTTGTGAGTCCATGACCATGCACACAGAAATGTTAACTATCAAATGTGTCCGTTAACTTTGCCGCTGCGGGTGAAACCATCCAGTTAGCATATATACTATCATTTGCATATCTTGGAAACCCAGTGTTAGTGTCATCGGCTCTCGGGAGTGGTACAGGACTCTCTCCAGGCCAGCTCGGGTCTGACATGCCTAAAAATGAAAACACATCATTTATTCTGCACCAAAGGACCCACATGTCAGGTGCAGACAGTGAGGCCTTGGCAAAACTCCCTTTGATGTTCAAGGCAAACTCCTGCTTTCAGTGCCAATTACACTCCTGGTTTCCAAAACACTGTCCTAAGTGTTTGGGGCAAGATTATGTGCTCTCTTGGTAAAACAGAATTTAGCAGATGCTAAAAATTTTGGCCTTTCTGGGCTTTAGGCTCTCAAATCTGCTCTGTTTGCTAAACTGCTTAACTGTCTACCTCCGGCAGTATGAGGCACTGGCACGAGGCTGGCGACACAAGCTTGCTGTGGCAAAAATGTTCTAAAAAAGGAGCTTATTTGTCCATTGCCTACCACAGAAAGAAGTGTCCTCCTGCGAGCATGCAGAAAGCACTGGCCCCAACGTCAGTGGGGACTCTGAGTTGGAGGGCAGCAGAAGGAGCATCCTGGCTGAAGTGCCTGAATCCCCTCAAGTGCTCAGTAATGAAGTTAGGAAACAGAAAACCTTTCAAGTATTTAATCCAAGACAAAAGAAGGAGTTTTGGCAAGAACCATATTTACTGTCCATTGCAAGGCCACAGCACCACAGACTACGTTCTTTCAAAAAGCACTGGCTCTAGCATTTAGCACTGGCTTTGTAAGTGACGACCGTGGGGGGAAGGATGTGAAAATAGCAATGTCCACATATCCGGCAGGGCCACCCAGCACTGCCTCACTGCCTGACCGGCAGGGCTGGGGCCCAGGTGGCCTCTGAGAGGCACCCCCCTCTGCATCTCAGTGCATACAGGGTGCCAGCCCACCTTGATTTAAATCCCTCCCATCAGGCAAATTGATCCAAGTAACTAAACCGGAACTACAGTGACTTGCGCCACCCCTGAAATGACTTATTCATCATTTCTGCAGCACCCCTTGAGAATTTGGCCCTGATGGTTTCTGCTGTATTGTCTTAAGTTGCTGGGCAGTGTGGTAATGACTTTTATTTTCACATCCTTTAAGAAAGACATAGTTGAAATAAAGGCCCACATGTAAACTGGATGCAAAATCAGACATATACAAAGAAAAGGGTTCAGCGTGGACTTTGGTTTTGTTCAGGACTTTTAGAAAGCATTACAGACAATGAGGACAGTGCAGAGGGCAACACTGCTAGAACCGAGTAAACGCATGGGAGATTCTACCATAGAGTTTGTTTTCAATCCATGTGGAGGGGAGGGTGCGAGGGAGGGGGGTGCTGCTGCAGTCCACCAGTGGCGTCTCCTCCTCTGAGAGACCGTCATCGTACAGCAGTGAGTCCGACGGGGTGGATGCTGCAAGGTCCAGGTAGTCCTGGAAGAGAGGGATGGCCAGTCACCCCCTCCCCGTGATGCCCCAGGACAAGGGTTCTGGCATGTCCCCACCCTGGCAAGACCTGCAGAGCCCCTTGCCAAGGTGGTGCCTGCCTCACTGGCACCTGAGTGTCATTTATTTTCTCTGTCTTCTCCTTTTCTCCCCTCATAGATTTTCAGGGCCTGAAAGGCAGCCTGCACACAATGGAGGGCTCGGGACTGCCTATATCAGACACTCCTGCCCAGGAGAGCTCCTTTGCCACGTGTCTCGTGCAGAAGCGACATGTGTCAAGCTGAAGGCACAGCCTCCCCTGTGGCCCCTCCACCTGGGGCCCCTGTCAGGGCTCAGAAATGTGAAATGCACCACTGATGTTGGCTGTGCCCAGGACACTGTCACAGGTGCCAGCTCCCAGCATGACTGTCATGTGCATGCGTGCGTGCGTATGTGTGTGTGTGTGCACGTGCAAGGCCACGCTGCCCCTTGGCTGGCTCTTGGGAGTCAGGACAGCCTGACTCACAGGACTCAAGGTTCCACCCCAGTGCTGGCTGTGCTGTGAAGCTCTGCTGCAGGGCTTTGCCAAGCTCCCTGTGTCCTGAGTTTATAAACAATGCTTCTGGTAAATGTGCCAATGAGGACAGAGATGTCTGTGGTAGGGTTCGAGGGCCCAGCTGGTTCACTGAATCCCTGGTATGCAGTACTTAATAGCTACTCAACAAATACCTGCCCAAGTTGTGTCTGCACACTCCTGGCCTCACAGTCATAAAGGGAGGCGCGAGAGCTGATTGAGGCTCCCAGATAAGCTCTGCTGGGCTCATGCTGGGCTTTTGAAAGTTTATAAATGAGTTACAGTAAGAACTGTGAGACCTGACACAGGCCTCTTGAAATCAGGGACACCTGGCACTTGGGGCTCCCATCCTTGGCCACAAGCAGTGATAACCTGGGATTGTAGAGGAACTGGAGCCACAGCTCTGCTGCCCTCTCATCCCTGCTGCTGCCACTAGGCACCAGGGCTGCTTCAACACCATGAGAGCTCTTCTAGGAGTCAAGAGAGGAGCTGCGGTTTCCCTGTGATTTGGGCAGTGTTCCTGCTACCTACCCTAGGGATGGCATACTCTCTCCTTACCTCCCCCCTGCCCCCCACTCTGGCTTAGGAACTGCAGCCCCAGGGGTGGCCAGGACTCACTCTGCTCTTGACCATCATCTTCTCCAGGTCTTTGCTGATATCGGCAAACACGGGTCGCTTGTCTGGTTCCTGCTTCCAGCACTGCAGCATGAGATGGTACCTGGGGGGTGGGGAGGGCAGTAGTGAGGACCTGTGGTGTGAAGGAACCACAGCTCTTCTGCTTTGCTGAGCTCACAGGAACTGGGGCTTGGCCTTACTCCAGACTCAAGGGCTCCAGGACCCTGGGGCTCCCTTTCCCTCCAGAAGATTAACTTTCTCTTTCCTCACAGAAACATCATAAACAGCAGGCTCTAGAGCCTGAGCAGGAAGTGCCATGATGAGCCGACTGAACTTTCAGGTGTGGCTGGCTCATCACACCTCCAACTGGCAGGTTCCCACCCTCCACAGGAGCCCAGGCACAGAGCACAGAGCATGGTAAGGTGTTGTGGTTGCCGGCCGGGTACCATGACTAAGCAGCATACAGACTGTGGCAGTGTCTGCCTCTGGACGGTCCCTTCTCATCTATTTTCAACATGCTTTCTGGAACCATCTGGGACTACGTGGAACCATTTAGGACCATCTTGAACCTTCTGAAACCACGTGGGACCATCTGGTTGAACTGCTTGGTGGGAAAGAGGACAGCTCTGGTGCTCTCTGGCTGGGCATTCTCCAGTAAATGCCCATGTGTCCTGTGGGGCCCTGGGATCACTCTCCCCCACAGCCTGCTGCTACCCCATCTGCTCCCATCCAACAGGGCTCTCTGCTCTCCATTCCCTAGGGTGGTGGCCAGAGCTGCTCAGGAGTAAGTAGGAAGTGGGTGGTTGTTCCCCTCCATAGAAGGCTCAGTGTGTGGCATAGAGGGTGCGTGGGGTGGTCCTGTCCCCTCCCATGGGAGGCCTGGTATGCGGGGCAGGTCATGGCTGATGAAGCAAACCCGCTCACATCTCCTCACTGCAGTTGTCCGGCCTGTCCATGCGGTGGCCTGTCTTCAGGAGGTTGAAGAGCCGCTCAGGAGGAATGCCGGGGTATGGGTTGCCCCCCAAGGTCACAATCTCCCACAGTAGGACCCCGAAGGACCACCTGTGGTGAGCAAGGGGACAATGAGCATCTCTACCTGCTAGGGCCCAGCTGTCCACAGCTGCAAGGCCTGCTAGCCTCGAGTGCCACAGTGGCCACACTAGATGTCAGCTGGGTCTGGATGGCCCTCTTGCCCTAATGCATCCCCTACCCTCAGGGGCCAGCACTGTACCACCCAAGCTATGCAGAGGGAACGGTGGCCTCCATTACCCCAACTTACACGTCACTCTGGGTGGTGTAGATATGGTCGAACAGGGACTCAATTGCCATCCACTTGACAGGAATCCGGCCCTGTGGAGGGCACTCATGTGATTCTGCAGTCCCAGCTACAGGAGTCCTGGGTCAGGGTCAACCACAAGGCCTGGAGCCCTAGCCTGAGCTGCAGGGTGCTGTTGAGACACTGGTGGGAGCTGGGCAGCTGCCCACTGCCACACAGGGTGGTCCCATGGTACACCCTGGGGAGTACAGGGGTGTAGCCTGCACTCACTTCCTTAACTAAGCATTTATAGCAATTCCCCTTTACCAAATGCATTCTCTAGGACCCTGTGCTCACATTCTCTTCTTCCCAGGGGACTGTGAGGCCGGAGACCTGCTGTCCTGTGTTACAGGAAGGTGCCATCATATCCCCCTGGGGTAGCAACAGCCTCCCTCTTTCCCTTCAATGGTTCTGAGGTCTCTGTTGCCCTGAAAACCCTTAGAAAAATTAAACAGGGTCCTCAAAACCAGCAGCAGTGGCTCTTGCCCCTCATGGCAGAGCTGAGCCAAGAAGACATGTCTGGTGCTGTTCCTTCCCCTTGGGGTCAGCCCTGAACACCTGGTTGCTGGGACCACCCCCAGCTGGTTGCGAACTGGCCCCATATGGACCATCACCAGGCTTTGGGAAAGCAGAGGGGCTGGTGACAAAACTAAGATGTCAGGGTGGTTACCCTGGGAAATGATGATGTCAGGACCCCAAAGACTCTTAGCTGCCCCACAGCAGACCTTTCTAAGGCCTTATAAAGTGCCTGGGATGACAAGAAAAGCATCCGCCTGAAGGCTTCAGGAAGAGCAGGGACACAGGAACAGCAGGAACTGGGTCTCTGCAGACTCAAAGTGCGGACAGACAGGGTAGGAGGCAGCTTGAAAGAGTTCAGTACCCAGGAAGCCACTGCATATTTTTAGAGGACCTGAGGGTTGCTGTGACTCCCTCAGGGCACTCTGTAGTGTGTACCTTGCTTCTCTTCACATAGGAGTCCTCTTCGTACACGTCTCGGGACAGCCCGAAGTCTGAGATCTTCATCTTCCGCCCCTCGGCCACCAGGATGTTCCTGGCTGCCAAGTCCCGGTGAACAAGCTGCAGGGAAGAAGAGTGGGACCCTTAGGCGGCTGGTGGGCCAGCTGGGCACGGCCAGGGTGCAGTAACCACACCTACCTTCATCTCAGCCAGGTACTGCATGCCCCTGGAGATCTGCCAGGCGAAGGAGATGAGGTCGCCCATGGTCAGTGCCCGCTCGTCAGGGTGGTCCAGTGTGCCAGAGTTGCGGCTACCTCCACTGCCCACGTAGCTGGGTCCCACTTTGCGGCTATCTCGGAGGAAACCCCGCAGGGACCCGTACTTGGCGTACTCCACGATGAGGAGGAGTGGCCCTGAGGGCAGGGACAGTGGGCATGAGGCCACTTGGGCAGGTGGGGAAGCTGTCACCCAAGTGGGCAACAGGACCCTGGCATAGCCCTGCCAGGGCAGCTCTGAGAAAGCACAAGCCTAGAATCCCCACATCTATCACAGTGGGCACCAGCTTCCTCTAGGGGACACTGATTGGCCAACAGGAGCCCTGACCCTTCCACCATTGCAGGGCTGTATGTAAGGTGGAGGTGGGATGTCCTGGGAAGGTCTGAGCAGACCTGGTGCTGACCAGGTGCTTGCTGCAGTCCCTGCATTCCCTGTATGCATGTACACATGTATGTATATATATACACACACATACACACACACACACACACACACACACACACACACACACACACACACACACACACACACACACACACACACACACACACACAGAAGCCCCAGGCAGCACCAAGGGTTGAAAACCAAGATAGACAAGATGGTATGTGCATTCTCGGCTGAGCAACGATGACAGTGTCTTGCTATGTGGGGCTGGGTTGGGCCGCCTGGAAGTCATGCACACCTAGTACCTGCAGGTACTGGGAAGCAATGCCATCCCTCTTAGAGCTCAGTCAGCAACTGGCCCCCTTGGGGAGGCCTGGGAGCAGCAAGGCGCAAAACCTGGGGGTGTAGGAGTTAAAAGGAGAGTGACCAGGGCAGGGAGGGGAGCCACCAGCCTGCTTACCGTCCTGGCTGCAGGCCCCATACAGCCTGATGACGTGTGGGTGGTTGACCTGCTTCAAGAGGTTGAACTCAGACATCAGGTCCCTCAGCTCACTCTGGGATGCATTCTCTGGAAGATAGTTGGACAGTGGGATGCAACCCAGCCCCTGCCACTGTGCTGGGCTGGCAAATCATTTCCCTCAGGGCACAGGGACCAGGATCTCCCAAGGGCCTCACGGTGCCCTCAGGCCTGGGGATCTGGGCACACCCCTGAAGCACCCTGCTGTGTAGCCCCCATGACAAGAGCCCTGTACCACACACAGGGCTGCCACTGTCCTGCATCTGTGAGCCTGGAGCACAGCCACTGGGAGGTGTGAAGGTCATGGGGCTGCCTGGCAAAGGCTCCTCACAGCACCCCATGGGACAGTCACAGGTAGATGCAGCACTCACACCCCAGGACACCTGTGCCAAACTCTGTGGCTCCACATACCTTTCAGCATCTTCACAGCCACTGTGGTATAGCCAGCTCTGCCCTTTAAGCGGAAGGCCGTGGCCTTCACCACCTTCCCAAATTCGCCCTCTCCCAGGGTCTTCCCGAGAACCAGGTCCTTGCGAGGGAATTCCCACTTTGGGTCCTCCTGTGTGGGTTGAGGGGATGATTGAAGAGGGGTAAAGTGAGGAACATGTAGGTAGATCATTGAGGAGCCTGGGAGATGAGGCCCGAGTGGGGAGTGGCTGCTTCTGCACCAGGACCGAGACCCCTGTGATGGGTACCTCGTCTTCCTGGTAAAGGCCCCGGACCCACTGCATATGCCTGGGTGCTCAGAGCTCAGGTCCATGTCCTGCCACAGTGAGGGGACCCAGGCCTATGAGGCAATCCTGCATGCTCACAGTGACAGCCAGCAACCCAGGGCTCCGTCTGCTGACCTCAGGCCCCAGGGACCTGCACAGCATCCACAGTTTAGGCGTCCAGCCTGCAATATCTAGCTAGAGTGGGGACACCCAGGGTGACAGGCCCCCTGTGGACACTTGCAGAGAAAGGTGCCATAAACCCTAAGGAAACCTAGCCTGGCCCAGACTGCATCACCACTCCTGCACCTGGCTCAGGCTCTGGCTGGTGTACTGCCTTCAGATCCCTGAGTCTTACTGCACACCAGGCCCACCCTGGTTGTATGAGCAAACCCTGGAAGGGCTGAAGCCTGCAGAATACAGTGTCCTCTGCTCAACCTGCAAACCAGAATCAGCCATATGGCACCCTAGCCTACCCTGGGACTTTGCTCCCTCCCTGTGGGGCCCAGCCTGCCCTCCTGAGACCCTTTCAGCTCATATCCCAGCCTTCTGAGTCATCCTGACTCCAACTGCACTGCCCATCTCCTCTGGAAGGCAGCTTGGGTGCCCCCTGGTGCACCGCTGGTAAGGATGTGTGCAGCCCATGCTTGCCCTGAGCCCTGGGCCGGGGACCCCTCACCTGGATCTTGACGGTGTCCACAGAGACCTGGTTCTCCATGGAGTCCAATGAGGGCCGGCGGGCCCCTGCTGTGGAGTAGCTGATTGGGAAGGCCTGGGCAGGACGGCAGAAGGTCATCTCCGCAGATGCAATGGGTGGCTTGTGCGCATGCTTGTGGTAGCGGTGGACGCAGAAGGTGGACAGAAGCACCGAGATGATAAAGGAGAAGAGCACAGCCGCCGCGATCACCGTGCGGCACAGGTCATCACACAGTGGGGCTGCATGAGTGGACAGCCCTCAACTTTGAGGCCCTGTGAGCCCCATAGCACCCCAAGGGAACCTGCCCCACTGCAGACTGTGCCACCTCCTTCTGACTGCCACTGGCAGAGTGTTGGGTGGCCCGCTCAGGTGATACAGAAGGGGCTGCACCCCCTGTACCAGCTGCCCAGGGCTGCCACGGAATCATATGCCCAGCCCTGTCACAACTCAGGCACTGAGTGTCCCAGGGTTGGGGGCAGGAAGCGTCCCCGGTGCAGTCACTGTGGCCTGTGCTGCCCATGTTAGACAATGGGGACCTGAAAGTGACAGCTGGACAGGGACAGGGACAGGGAATGGGATCCAGCCAAGGACAGGTGTCAGAGAAAGAGCCCTGAACTGCCCCAGCCCTCCCCAGAGAACACAGGGAAGATACCTCACAGAGGCCCCTGCACCTCTCCTGGGCTACATCCATGGGAAAACTGAGGCTCAGCAGGGCATGGCCTTGACAGCTGTGCCCCTGTCCTCTCAGAAGCTGTGCCCTCACCCTGGCTATCCTCAGGCTCGCAGAAGCACTTCTTCTCCTCTGGAAAGCAGCTACAGGTGCCATGTCCAGCTCTAATCCCCCGGCGTTCCCCAGGCTCGTGACCCCCAACGATGCTGCCCCCTGAGGACAGATATGGCTGTCAACCAGGTGTACAGGCTGTCAGGAGAGGCTCACCTGGGCAGTGGGCTCTGCTGTGAAGCCCCATAGGCCAACCCTTTGGCTATGATGGAGGAACCCAGACTGCCCAGGGCCCCTGCAGCATTCCCAGAAAGCACCCCTGGGTGTCTGAGGAGCAGAGCAGGGGTGGTCTATAGGGAGGAGAATGCAGTGCTGTGAGGCCAGTCACCAGGGCCAGCACATTGGGGACAGAGCCCTTGTCCAGGTGAGAGGTGGGAGGAGCCTGGATTGGCCTCACAACTGTGACATTTGGTATCATGGCTATGCTGAGGACAGAACCCAGGGCCACACAGGGGCCCAGCCATGCTCTGATGCCACACCCAGCCTGCTCTCTACAGACTGATGCAGCCAGTGTGCCCTGCCAGTCCTGCCATCCTCAGCTTACGCAGGCAGTCCTGGGGGCAGATATGGGGGTCCTGGTTCTCCACGACATCACAGTGGCCATCAGGGCAGGTCTTGGTGCTGGGGGAGCAGGTGGAGAAGTTCCTGGAGATCCCTGCAGTGTGACATAGCCATCACCACATGGATGCTGCCACTCAGACACCCCGCAAACTCCTGGGCTCCTCTAGAGAGAGAAACTGAGGACCATGAAGAGAAACCCCACACATCCCTGGCCAACATGGAAGGCCGGACAGGGTCCCCAGGGGACACCATGGTGACAGGCAGCTCACCAGGGTGGGGATGGCAGCTGGGGCCACCCGTGGGAGCCACTGTCCTGTATGTTTACCCTTGACTCTGATCTGCCCCATGGGCAGTGCATCAGCCCAGCCCCTCTGGTCACAGTGGCAGAGCCTCCCTAGTGCTGTGGACACCCAAGGACTAGCAGGCTAGGCATGAGACCCATGTCTGGAGCCACCCACCCCAGCAGTACCCCGTCCCCAGCTTGGCCCACCTTTGCCATCACCCTGCCGCCATTCGCACCGGCCGGTCAGGGCACCCAGGCCACCGCACTCCTCACATTCAGGGCGCCTCTTGCTGACTGCACAGGATAGAGGGCAGCCTGCTGCTTCAGCCATGTCTAGGGGGCAGACAAGCCAGGGTCACAGGGGCCTGCTGTCCCCAGGTTACAGGTGGGGGCCATTCCCAGGAGGAGGAAAGACAGGGATGGATTGAGGATAGCTGGCTCAGTGTCACGCCGGACATCAGGGACACCTAGCTCAGTTAAAGGTAGATACCTGCTCTGAGAATGTCAGTCCCTAACGTGGTTGGGATGCTCTGAGGTTTGATTTCAGAGAAACCTCACCAAAAGCCTACTCGGACTGAGTGTCCCTTGAGTGCAGCAGGGGATAGAAACCCCAGTATTGCGATCTTGGAATAGTCACATGTGCATGAGGCTAGGCAGGAAGTCTGCTCAGCACATTTATTATGGAGCCCCAAGCCGATCTAGTTCCACCCAGAAGTCTCAGTGCACTGCACTCCATGACCTGACATGTGGGTGAGTGTGGGACCTTCCACCTGTACACCAGATTAGCCATCAAAAACATCCTGATTGTGAAGCATCTTGGATTTGGGGTTGAGGGACACAGCCTACACCCATCAACTGTGTGTTGATTATGCGGAACTCAAAATTAACCTGGGTCCTGTGTCTTACCCAGCAGCTTTGAAGCAGGTGCATGTACAGGATGCCCTGACCAGGTGGAAAGGATTTCACCACAGAACCACACTCCCCCCACCAGTCTCCCATTGGGCTTCAAGGAGGCATCAGGATTCGGGCACAGGGAGGAGGTCTGGGCTGTGGGAGGCACTGTGGGTGATTCCCCCCACCTCAGACTCACATGTCCCCTCCACAGTGACCATCAGTGCAGCCTGGGCCTGAGTGTGGGTCTCCTGGTCGGTGGCTACCACTGTGTACTGAAGCTCTTCACACTCAGGCTGCTGCAGAGCCTCCGTGTTGTTCACAAACAGGGTCCCTGAAGTGTCCTTGGCTGAGCTCAGCACCCCCAGGGCACTGCAGTTGATGCCGGATGGTTGCAGCTTATACTGGACATGGACACCACTGAGCTCCCAGCAGTGCTCCACACAGACCCTGCCGACCTGGGGGGATAGGGTGGCTCAGAGGGTGCAACTGGCCTCAGATTGTCCTTTGTGTAACCTAGAGACAGCAGCTTCCTGCACACCTCAGGCTGCAGACTTGCCTGCCCACCGAGTCACTGCTGCCTCTGCTTCCAGGAGTCAAAGGTGAGGGCAAAATTCTGCCCTGTTGCCTGCCAGCAGTGCAACTAATGCAGCAAGGTCACCTGGCCCATGCTGCTCCAGGACCTTGGAGATGGGAACCTTTCCTTCTGGGGATGTCAGGCCCCACAGCCAGGCAGTTGGACTTTCCACTTTTTGACCACTGAAGAGTCACAGCTGCAGCAGCTGAAGCCAAGAGCTCCAGCCCCAAGGTAGGACAGTTGCTGTCCATGGGCCAGAGTCAACCCTGAGGTTGCCCCACCAGGGGCCCAGTACAGAGCCACATACCCCTGAATTTAAGCCTGCAGCACCAGCCTCTCAGCTGTCCTCAAAAAGCATGCCCATTTCCACCTCCTTGGGTCTTGGATGCTGCCTAGCTGTCTTCAACTCACAATGTCAAGAACTGGGAAGGGGTGAGAAGCCAGAATCCAAGGCTGGATGGAGTATGATGGTGCAGATGGCCCTCCACCTTCAAGGTCTGTGCCCCAGAACCCTCTGCTTGTCACCCCATCACACTGCTGCCCATGCCCCAGGGACAGAGATAGGTCCCTTCTGTCACAGGGATTGTCCCTTCTGGGTTGGTTCCAGGACCACCAAGAGAACTGGCAAACCACTGGGAAAAGGGGATCCGGGCTGGATATGACATGCTGTAGAGGACACGCCTCTCCGAGAGAAGCCATGCATATGGATGGTCTCTGGGGACTCTCTGGGCTCAGAAAGTATATAACAAGTAAACTGCCCAGGGGCTCTCAGCTGAGGAGGTGGAAGGGGCGTTCTTCTCCCTCCTCATCTTTAATGGTTTTACTTGTCCACATCTGATTGTTTTCTTTTCCAGCATAGACACAGACATACCACAGGCTCTGACAGAGGCACCTGCCAGTAGAAGCAAGACGCCCGTCTTCCCCCAGAGGGTGCCATTGCTCACTATGCTCCACTCTTACAGATGGAGCAAAGTTCTCTCCTGCAGAGACGAGGCCTGAAACCTTTCCTGCAAACACCTTCCCATCCCACCATCTACCAGGGGAATGTTTCCAGGTCAGCACGTAGATTCTACTCTTACATTAGTGCAAAAATGTGATGTAAAGACACCAAGGAGGAAGAGGGGAAAAACAGAGGCCTCAAGGAGCTGTGTCCTCAGTGAGGTGCCCCGGTCTGCATGCACAGCCTACTTGGCCGCTTAGGCATCACCCACCCAGCCTGTCCGCCACCCACTGCCCCATCCTTACCTGGGCATAACGGTGGGCCTGCCTGCTCACAGAGAAGGAATAGGTGCTGGGCAGGTGTAGGCGGATGGGCAGCACCGACACATTGAAGTGGAGGAGAAGGACGCCTAAGCCTGGGCCCTGGAAGGTAGAGTCGTTGACCAGCACATCCAGCTGCAGGGCTCGGCTCTCGGAGATGGGCAGGCTTTGGTTGAGAACCAGCTCTGTGGACAGGGACATGATGGTGACATCCAGGCTTGGGCCCCAGCCAGCACCTCCTCCCAGACATAGCCTGCACACACATGTGCATACAGGCAGATTCCAGACAACAGGTTGGAATCAGCCCTCAGTGAGAACCCACATTTCAGTGTTGACTACCTGGTTTAACTGCACACTCCAGGAACCTGCCTCAGTCAGGGCAGCTTTTGTGTGCACACGAGTGTGTGTGTAGGGTGTGGACAAGAGTACGAGGTGTAAACAGGTTGTGTGGAGTGTAGTGCATGTGGTATGTGAAATGTACATACAATGTGCATAAGAGTACACACGAGTAGTGTGTAATGTGTGGTATCTGAAACTTACACACAAGAGTTTACAAGGTCCAGTGTTGTGTGCATGGTGCACACAGGGTAAGATGTGTGCAGGGCGTACACACAAGAGTGGTGTGTGAATTGTGCGCACGTAGTGTGGTGTATGCAGTCACAGGCAGGCAGACAACCCCCCCTTACTGAAGTCATGCACTGTGGCTCGCACAGTGCCGCCACCCTCCGCCGCCACGCGGGTCTCGTTGGGAAAATGCTCCAGACGGAAGCGCTGCTGGGCCCAGGGATCCCGGGGCAGCAGTGTGCCAGTGTAGCGCCGCGCCAGCTCCGCCGAGGCCGGCACCACATCCGCGTCGAACACACGCAGAGTGGCCACCACCGTGCCCTGCGGGGCAGGGAAGGGCTGTCAGAGGGGAACCAAGCCGACTCCAACCCCGCCCCAGCTGTAGGCCACTAATCTTCAAGGAGGCCCAGCTCCACTCCAGCCCACCAGAATCCCCTTCCACCACAAGAGGTCCCCATCTCCACGCCCACCAAGTCCCGCGCCTCTCCAGCTCCCCAGAAAGCCTCCCCTTCCAAGCCGGGCAGATTCCTGCAGTGCCTGGAGGCCCAGCCCTTGGCCTGCTCCCTTCAGGTGACTTATAGACCCGAGGCAACTGCCTTCTGGTCTCTGTAACCGGTGCTCCCTTCCCCAGCCCTACGGGGTGCAGGAAAGGCCGGTTAAGGTCTCAGCGAACTCGCACCTCCTTCCGCCGGAAGGCCACCTCAGCGTTGGCCGTGTCGCCCGACCCCGACACCCTGGGTGCCGAGTCATCCTCGTCGTACACGGTGACTGGGAAGGGTTCCTGCACCTCGTCCTCAAGTGCGCCCGAGCGCACGGCGCAAGTGGCCACCAGGTCGAAGCGCTCCCGGCGCTCCCGGTCTAGCACGTGGCGCATGCTCACCTCCAGGCTGTCCGGGGCACATCGAAAGGGGCCACTATCACCATCACCTGGGGCGGGGACACAGCAGGTGACAGCCAGCCCTGCATTGGGCATCTCTAAATGAGAGCAGTGCCATGGCATTTACATCCCGGGGCAGCCTTTATTTCCATCGAAAAGCCTGAGAAGTAAAGCCTCAGCTCTAGTGTTCATTTGAGCCCTATTGCTTCTAAGCACTTTTCTGAAGGAAAGTTTTGCCCTCTACTTTACATAGCCTGGCTGTCGCCTCTCACTGCCTCATTTTCCCCTAGTAGATGCCAGGTGCCCTAACAGTGCCTGATGCTGAGATGCACTCTGCAGTGACTCAGCACGTGTGAGGGGACAGGCCCCCCCCATTCTGCAGCTTGCCCTCCAGCAGCAACCCAGGCAAGGGGACCCATTGAAGGTCCTGTCAGTGGGGTACCAACCACTTGTGAGTTATTCACACTGGAAATGCCTGTCTGTATGTTGACAAAAACCATACTAAACAAATTCACATATATTTTTTTAAAGCATCTGTCTGGAAGACATGCATCCTGCCTGGGCCATGTGCTGAGTGTGAGTGGCAGCTTTCCCTCCTCTGTGGAAATCTCCACTGACTCTGTACCATCCTGTTGAATACGGGCATGGTGTAGATTCACAGCAGTGTGGCCCCACATCGCCAGCTGAATGGCCTCCATGGGCAGTCAGCCACCTTCTCTTCTCATTCACCTGGGATCACCAGCCTGTTCCACACCAGCCTTGCCCAGGCCCAGCTTCCAGAGAGGCTAGCTGTCCCCCTTGTTGCTCAGGAGAATCCTTGGGATGCTCAACACCCACAGCCAGTCCAGGAGGAAATCAAATCTGCTGGCCCCCTGCTTCTCAGAGGCTTACTGGCTCTAGCCTCATGTAGACCTGTCTTCTGGCTCAAGGGTCTCTTGTAGCCTCTGTTTCCCTACTTTCACCTATACTTGCAAACCTACACCATGCCAATGCTGGAGTCTGGCTGCACCTTTTCAAGGCAAATCAGCTTTCCATGCCTTCCATGCCCCACAGGATGCATGGTGTGGCCTGGGGCCACACTGCTCCTCAGCCTTAGTCCTCCCTAGCAGCTGGGCCACATGAGCCCTACACTGTCACTTGCCCTATTTGTTTGCTCTGGGATCCCCACCCTACCCACCTGGCTGAATCAACATCACCACTACATCTATCCCATTCTTCCTTGTCCTTTTGGAAGCTACTGGCCCCGGAGATGGGAGGACACCAGCCTGTGACCTTCCCAGGCACCACCTCTACTTCAGAACAGAACATTGCCAGTATAGACCCTGCAGTGACCAGCTGCTCACCCTGCAGGAGCCTGTAGGCCACACTGATGTTGGGGCACAGGAAGTGCACGGGCAGCAGACGGAACTGGTGGAAGGTGCCAGGTGGCCTGTTCTCGCGGATGCGGAAGGACAGCCCATTCTCTGGGAAGCAGATCTCCCGGAGTGAAAGGGAGCTGCAGGCAGGGAAGGAGGCATTGATGAAGGAGAAGTACACTCGGGTGCACCCTGGCCAGTGGCACTCGCCCTCTCGCAGGGGTGGGGATGACAGGAAGACATGGAGGAAAATGGTCAGCAGGGGGAAACCGCCATCTGTGGGGAGAGAAGAGAGGAGTCAGGCCAGGCAAGGCCTCACCTGTCCAGTGGGCATGGGGCTGGCAGGGGTCCAGGGTTCATATCCAGCTCCTGGCTCCACTTCCCAGCTCCATGCAGGACCCTGTAGCTGCAGCACCTGGCCCACCACGACCACCTGCTGTCACCCAGTCCTGACCTCACAATGTCCCCACCTCCTGTGGTAGGTGGGCTTCTCTCCAGGGCCAGCTCCTATGCACACCCTGCCCTGGGACCCACCAAGGACAGACATCCCTGGCCCCTGGAGAGCACTTCCATGGCACTCCTACCAAGGCACAAAGTGGCAGGGAAGGCAGGGTCCAGCAGTATGGGGCTCTCTGGTGGACCTGGCTACTCCCCTGTCTGCCCACTCTGCTCCTCCCTAGCTTTTCCTGCTCCACCCCAGCTGTGGCCAGACATTCCCCATGCAAACCCCATGGCTCCTGTCCTGATGGGGCCTAGCAGTGTCCACACGCTGCTGGCGCAGGCCTCCCAGGAAATGCAGGCCCCATGGGGTGGAGGAAGGCCTGGCTACAACCAGGCACGCCTAGAACTGAGACCTGCCTCCAGCCATCTCCTCCAGGACCTGCTGGGTGCCCACCCCAGGACTCTCTCTGATGGGTGACCCCTGCTGGAGCCAGACTGGGGCTGGTGTGAGCTGGAGGCCACATCTGGGGCTCTGGACAGGTCTCCCAGGCTCCATTCCTTTGGGACACCTGGGCCAGGCCAAGCGTCTGCCTGTGGGAGGAAGGAGTTCTCTGTGACTGCTGCCACTCTAGTGAGCCCTGGGTAGAGCTGAGACAAGCCCTGGGGCTTTTCCAGCCCCCAGCATTCCTCTTACAACCTCTAAACCCCCACTTCCTAGAAAGGCCCCAGGTTCTGCTGCAGTGAGCACCCAAGCCTTTGCACAGCCCCACAAGTTCAGAAGCTTCAGGACTCCTGAGGACTACTGGACACAGATACCAGGCCCACTTTGCCTCCTGCCCCGACCTCCCCAATGGAAGCCTGGGGGCCACACAGCCTCTGCCTTAATAAGCCGTCCTTACTCCGCAGGCTGAGTTGCTCCCAGGAGTTGCGGTCCAGGCTTCGGTTGAGGTAGAGAAGACCAGTGTCCTCCACGTGGATCCAGTCATTCTTGTGCAGTGGCTTGTGGTAGACACCGTAGAGGTGCTGGCCCAGGTGGAAGCTGGGCACCTCCCCGGGTGCATCTTGTAGGGCGTGTACATAGAGTAGTGGTGTGCCCGCTGGCTGGTCCAAGTACAGCCGCTCCCAGTAGGCGTCCCTCGGGAAGTAGAGGCCCAGAGGGGCTGCAGAAGGCAGAATCACATGAGGAAGGTGGGGACAAGAAGCCATCCATTTAAAATTCTGGTCCTAACAGGATTCCTCACCTCTGGTCCAAAGAACAAGAACACAGGAGCATGTACGTAGCCAAGCAATGGCTGAAAATGCCTTTCATTACAACAATAGAGGAGAGAGAAGGCAGAAATAAGAAATGCAGCAGAATCACCATCAGGCACTCCAGTTTCCTGAGTACCTAAACCCTAGAGTTCATGCTGGCTTTGAGCAAAGGACCAGAGCTTGCAAGGCATGAGACACCACCAGATATGGAGGGCAGGCAGTGGAGAGCAGCAACAAAGACAGCACTGGGCAAGAGACTGATCGACTTTTACCCAAACCCACTGCTGCTCCAGGACCCAGAAGTTCCATGCTGCTCAGTGGAAATACACCCAGGTGACCTTGATCATACATAGCTGGATTATTCACAGCGGCCTCAATGTGCCTCTGGCTGGCAGGTGTACATCACAGAACCCCACACAGCAATGACGAAGGACATGCATGCTGAACACATAGGCAGGAGGTCACAAGTCATGGCTTCCACACTGAACCGAGGTGGGCAAGTGGATGGCTGCCTGGGGGGCAGGTAGCCTGGGAACAGCAGGAGGGCATCCTCAGGGTGCCAGGGTCCTGTCCCCACAGGGCAGGTCATGTGTAGAATCTACACATGAACACAGCACGGCTGAGACTTGTGTCTCCCACTTACATAGACGTTCCACCTGAAAAGCTAGAAAACCAATTTTAGGCTGAGGGCAGAGGTGCAAAGGTCCCAAGAAGCTGGGATGCTGGCCACACCGGGCTGTGCCCCCACAGAATTTACCACCTGTGCAGTGGCTGTGCATGCCCAAGTATTAAAACTAAAAAGCATTCTCAGGGCTGGGGATTTAGCTCAGTGGTGCCGCACCTGCCTTTCAGGTGCAAGGTCCTGAGTTTGATCCCTTGTACTGGGTGGGGTGGGAGGAGCATCCTCACATAGTGAGTGTGTGAGCCCAGCGCACTGCTGGAGGGACGTGAAGGGGTGATGCTTTGAGGAAGGCGGTGTGGCTCCTCACAACACCACACACAGAATTGCACATGACTCAGCTGTCACCAGCCCTGCATCCAGACCAGAAGAACTTGAAGCTGCCTACAGAGGACCCTGCACATGCATTCACAGCAATACTGCTCACCACAGCCAGAGAGAAGGCATCCACGTGTCCATCCACAAATAGCCAAACACAATAGAATACTAGTGAGCCCTCAGAAGGGAAAGGAAATCCTGCTGAGTGACACAAGCCAGTCTCAAAAGGGACCATCCCTGCACCTCACTTCCATGAGATCCTGGAAATAGTCACATAGAGACAGAGTTGGATGGTGGCTGGGGAATCACCACCTCATTTCTGTGGGCAGACAGTGGTAATGGTTGCACAACACCCACCATAGATGTTCTTTTTTTCTTGTTTTGGTTTTTTGAGACAGGGCTTTGCTATGTAGGTCAGGTTGGTGTCAAACTCACAGCAATCCTCCTGCCTCAGCCTCCTAAGTGGTGGGATTACAGGCATGTATCCCAGGCCGGGCAGCAATGTGGATGTTCTTGATGGTACTGAATCCACACAGTTGAAAATGGTTAAAATGGCCAATTTCATGTGAACTTCTGGATTAAAAATAGCAAGATGTTTTAAAAAGATGGGTAAATAGGCAAAAGTCATTTACAACCCATTTTAAAAACTTCAAATAATTCTGCAACGCACAAAGACAGTGACACACAAAGCAGCTACCAGACAACCCTATGCTTACTGGCAACTGATTGAACTTCTGATCTCCCCTGGTAGCCTGTCTGCTGGGAATCTGCAGAGGGTGCCCAGTCCCAGGGGTTGGGACAAAGTCCAGGGCCAAATGTGCTTGTCAGGCAGAGGATGGGTCCCCAGTGGGAGTGAGAGGGCACTGTGCATTATGGGTTATCCCTCAGGATGGGTGCAAGGACAGCTGGGCTGGGAAGCCAGGCTGGAGGCCCTGCTTTTTCAGCAACTGAGTAAGGCCCTGTTCCTAAATAAGGAAAAGGGCTGGGAGATGGGGCTGCATGCGTAGGCCTCTGGTTCAGTCTTGGGAAGAAAGAAAAAGGCCAGCTTAGAAGGGAGGAAGGGAGCCTATCTGTTCTGGTCATGCCCAGGGTGGGGAGGCTCTGGGCCAGGGTCATGCCTGGAGACCCTCAGGTCACTGTTGTCCTGCTCCGGCAATGGGGGCAGTGTGGGACCTGGGCAACCAAGGCTGAGCCTTGCCTTCCTGCTCTGCTCTCTGGGGGGCACCCAGGCATACAATGCAGGGTGCAGCTGAGGGAAGCCCAGAAAACACACCCTCGGGTATTACAGGAGAGACAGCCAAGACCCCACCACCCCACCCAGCCTCGCTAGAGACCCCATCAGGAGCCATCTCCTCCTGCTGGCCCAGCCCCCCTAGATGGCACCAAGCTGACCTCTGTGGGTCCAGCCATGGGAAGGAAGTCCTCTCCTGTCCTAGCTTCTGGTGGCTGCCCAGCGCACCCCGCCCACTGCCTGAGCCCCCAATATGGCTCTTACGTGCCTCGTGCCTTGAGGAGCAGGTGGCTCATGGGGCCCCACATGGGCAGGATGGGGTCTTCTGCTGCCTGGAGAGACCTTGTGACCAGAGTCTGATGTACTTAAGTTTCCCCCTAGGAGGCTCACAGCAGGCAACCCCTCCCGTAGTACTGACTCTTATTGGAAAAGGGGCCAAGGACAGGTGAGCACAGGGGTGCTGGTGCATCCTAGGCTGCAAACAGAGCCCATGCTAACAGGGCCTGCTGCCTGTCTGGAAATCCTGCCCAATTCTAGATTTGGGCCCACAATCAAAGCAGCCAACTGCAGCAGGGGAGCAGAATAAGCCACTGGCAAGTGGCACAGAAGGGCTGGTGGCCCCCGCAGAGCACTCGCCCACTCTGGGCCTCAGTTTCTTTAACTGAGGACCTCTGAGGACAGGAGCTCGCCTCTGTGTGCTGGACACACATTCCCAGCCCCCACACCTTGGCCTGCCATGCAGGAATGTGGGCAGAGTAGGTGCTGTACCATAGGATATCTGGGCCCTCACACAGCCCCCAAAGCCCTATGGAACCCAGCCTCCAACACCTGCACCCAACTTCTCCCAGACAAATCTGCACCCAGCCCTTTCTCCTGCCCATTTTGGGGTCTAGCACAACCCTACACCACCTGCCACCTGTACCCCTGGTCCAGCCCACAGATAGCCCCAGCCCCAGGTGCTCAGACCATGCCTGCCAATCACTGAGCCAACCTCCATTGGAAAGACCTTTCACAGGCAGTATGTGGAACACATACACAGGTTGTGCAGGACACAGGTAGAAGGGGACACAGAAGGCCCATAACCTAATACCCCCCCACCTGCCCTAGCCTGACGAGACTGCTCTGTATTCCACATTGCCCAGGTGTTAGTTTACTGGCATCTGGGTGCAGATGGACACAGTTGAGGCCTTTCCCTTTGCATACACAAAAGGCACATATACACGCACCTTGCCACACACCCTCTGCCCACGTGTGCTTGTGTGTGGGCACAGGCCAGAGCCCAAGATCACTCTCTGCAGGCAGCACCATACTTGCCTGCAGCTGGTGGGATACAGGTGTGGGGACACCCAGCACACCCCACCCCAGCGATGTGCCCAAAGTATGCTGTGAGCTAAACCCTAGCTATCTACTTGACTGGCTTGGGAGCCACCCCCAGGATTAGCAAAGCCACTTCTGAGTGTGTCTGGTGTGTCACATGGGTGTGGCCTTGGGTCTCGTCCTTTTTTGCTCTCTAGTGCTGTCCCTGCTCTGATTCCCTGATGCCATGAACTAGGCAACATTGCCCTACCACACCCTTCCACTATGATATTGGAGCTGGCTGACGGTGGACTGAGTGCCCCGAAATTGTGAGCCAAACCACACCTCTTTTCCTTTAAGTTGTGGTGTTGGGTTTTGTCTCCTAGCACAGGAAAGTGACCACCACACACAGTTCCTTGGTGCCTGTGTGACTCCTGCCTGAGCCCAGCCATCAGCTGCCCATGACCCCAAGAAGGATCTGCTGTGTCAGCTGCAGTCCCAGCTACCCAAGCCTCAAGCTCTCCAGAGTTTTGACCCTGTAGGGCATGGTGCCCCTTCTCAGTACTCTGCCCCAGCCCTTACACACCCGCAGTTGCTGTCTCCTGGGGCCAAGAGTTCCTGGGAATGAACACTTGCCACCCATGACACGGTGCTGCCCACTGGCTCAGCACGGACCCACAGTGAACCCACACTGGGCACCCAGGTTCTGCTGCCATTCCAGCCTGGCTGCTGGTCACTCAAAAGACCACACACCCAGCTCCTGGTCAGCCCCTGGGGCAGGCACCTGTGGGGTGAGGGGCAGCCTCCATCCCTGACAGGCCCAGCGCTAGGGGGCATGAAAATGTTCAAGGCGGAGTTTATTTTAAAATCCAAAGGAGGAAAGAAATATGAGGAGGGCTGTAATCGGACAAAAAGCCTGGGTTGTTTGTCTTATATCAACATAGTGATGGGACGATTTTATTTTATTGCAAATGGTCTTACTGTACTGCCCAGGCTGGCATCGAACTCCAGACTCAAGTGATTTTCCTGCTTCAGCTTTCCAAGGGCTAGGATTACACAGAGCCTGCAGCTATAGGGAAGGCAGGGGTTCCAGGGGTTGTGGAGAAGTTGGCTGAGGCCCAGACTGGATGCCTCTTCCCATGCCTCTCGCCCCTGGAGCCCGGCAGCAGCCATGGGCACTGCCTTTCCATTGATAGTCCTGCCCAGTGTGCTGGTCTGCTCCCTTGACTGCCAGTGAGCTGCAGGCTCAGTGGCTGCCTGGCCTTGCATCTACCTGGGGCCACCCATACACATCCCCATGTCCCCAGTGCTTACTTCCAACCACTGGTCCAGGGCCCAGGTACACAGCTTCCTGTCCTCTCTGCCTGCCCAGAGCCACCTACTGC